AATGACATCCCAATGAGGGTTTTCTGCCTACAAAATAATAGGTAAATCCCCTGTCCCCTATATTTAAAAAATCCCAAGTTTTTCTCTTAAATATAGGACCCCCAGACACCCCTTGTGGCTGAAGAAATATAACCTTAGTCAACCCTAGCTGCAAAATATATCCCAAGTCCATCCCAGACAAGAAATATATTTCTACATTGTGACAGTCACAATTCAGGGTCCAGGCATAAGAAATATATTTGGAGTCCATTCCAGTGAGGAAATATATTTTGGGGTGTGTGACACACTAGAAATATATTTAGTGTGACATTGGACAACAAAATATATTTAGGTAAAAGTGGAGATATATAAGCCCCAGAATATATACAATATAGATATACACCCTGACATTTAGTCCTGTAGTATTCATGGAGTTTGCAAGACTAATAGTCAGTTGTCAGTGGGTGACTGAAGTGTTTTTGTAGTCCCAAAAAGCGAACACTACAACATTTTGTAATAAAAAATGGTAGTCTCAAAAGGCTGGTACTACAAAATTTTGTAATGAAAAACTGGGTAATGAAAAAAGAGGAGACTACAAATTCTTGTAGTCCCAAAAAGTGAACATTCCAAAATTTTGTAATGAAAAAGCGGACAATACAAACTTTTGTGGTAAAAGAAATCAAGCACTACAAAATTTTGTACTCTTAAAAAGAGGATACTACAAATTTCTGTAATAAAAGTGGACAAGACAAACTCTTGTAATGAAAAGGAGGACACTACAAATTTTTATATAGTCCCAAAAAGCAAACACTACAAGCATACCGCAAACTTTGATAGTCCCAAGAACTGGACTCTACAAGCTTTTGTATTCCCACAAAGTGGACATTACAAGGTTGTGAAATGAGAAATAGGATACTACAAAACTTAATAATGGACACTACAGAATTTGAATAGAAGTAGTGGGCACTACAGATTAAAATTTGGGCATGCGGGTGAGTTTGAACAACGTCACATGCTGTGACTTACTGATGTTACATCTTTCCAACGTCAACACCGACATCCA